AGTTGAACTCTACACCATTACCACCACTCACCCCAAGCTGAAATCTCTCCCAATTAAAGTTAGAGCTGTCAAAACGGGTAACCCGGCCCGACCCGACCCGACCCACCACGGGTTGACCACTTAGTGAGTCAACCTAACCCGGCTCATTTATTAGCAAGCCGAAAAAATTTGAACCCGACTCGACCCACCACGGGTTAGCTCATTGGCTCACTTAATTAACTTTTTTTTCACCCTCTTCTTCTTAGATTCTTATAATATGTTACTTTGATCGATCAAATTGAAACAATAATAATTGGACCAATTAATATAAAAGAAAATAAAACAAGAAATATATTGTTATATATATTCTAAGCTATCAAGCATAAAATTTTGCCAATTTAGTTTAATGAGACATATAACTGTTTGAACTACATTTAGTTGTTAACAAAAATATAAAGCAAGAGACAAAATTGTCATGCTTGTAGATAGGTCTAAAAACAAGATAAAACAAATGATATATTCCTAAATTATCCAATCTATAATATTATTCATCTATTAAATTGGAGTCCTTAATGGATAAATCCACAAAGCATCCTCTTCTTTATCTCCATCTATAATATTATCCAATCTATAATCTTAGGGTTTTATTTGCAAAGGGAAACTTTTGAAAAGACAGCAGCGCGAAAGACTTTATTGCTAAGTAAAGGTTGTGCATTTTGAATAATTAATTTAATTAATTTGATTTCAATAAAAAAATAGGATTTGAATAATTAATTTAATTTAATTAAAAAAATAGGTGGGTTAGTGAGCCAACCCGACCCACCACGAGTTCAACCCGTGTGAGCCAGGTTCTTAGTGAGCCGGGTCAAAATTGACTCACATAAAAAATTTTGTATTTTTTTCCAACCCAACCCGGCTCAAACTCGTGGTGAGCCAGGTTGGCTCACGGGTTTCAACCCATTTTGACGGCACTAATTAAAGTGTTGAACATAACCCAAACTAATTCATAAAAACCCCAACTTTAACAATTCAGTTCACCAACCATTTCTCACCAATTCACTACCTTAAACCTCCCTTTAAACCCAACAAAATTTCCATCAATACTACTCTTTTTCCTCTAACAGTTCAATCAACACAGTTCACTTTATCAACATCCAATCCAATCTCACAAACATACATATAACAAATTCAACATGTTATACAATATTCATTGTCACTCAAATCATCAATATCACCCAATTAGTTCAATTATCACTGACACACAATAACATTTTTCATCCAAACAGTTTAGTACTCACATACCATTGAACTTATACTACACACTTCAATTAAAAGCAATTATCTAGCTTCCCTTACCTCGACTCAACAGCTCCAAAACCTCTAAACGCTCCACAGATTTCTTGCGGCACAAGGAACTTCTAGAAACCTACAAATCACCGATCGGTGATTGGAGACTAACCTTAGAACCACAAACAAACTAAGAATCAAGGGAGAGGGATTCTTGATCCATGCAAAACAGAACCACTTTACATGATCAAGAACCCTAAACACTAAAGAAAAAAGGGGTTTACCACTTACTTGCTCGATTCAACCAATTGATCGGTCAGATTTGTAGCCCTTAACGCAGGGATTGCCTAGACACTTCCTGATCATTGAACAAATGATTGAGGAGTAAGAAATTGTAGAGAGAAGTGAGAGAAAGAGAAGAGAATAGTGTTTTAGAGAGATAAAAGTAGTTTAGATAATGAACCGAGCTTTAGAAAGTTCTATTTATATTATAAGGTTATTTTATAATAAAATACTCGGTCTCATTATTTTAATACATCTATCAACTCTAATACTTTATTTCTAGGTTCTTACATCCCCATTTTAAAATTATGTTTCAGTGTGTTAATGGTATGAAATGTAATATCTATTTTATTTTAGGACATTTTTATATTTGACAGGTTTATATATATATATATATATATATATATATATATATATATTGTAGTTTAGATGTACGAGGAGTTTTTTGGAATCATGTTTAAAAAATAGAAGATAAATTCATATCAAGGTTCTCTTTATCCAAAATTCAAAATAGACACCAAAAGGAATTAGAAAAAACAAAATATTGGATACTAAGATAGTAATTGTATTTTAATTAAGATTTAGTGATCGACAACTGATTAGTTAGTTATTAGTTGTTACACGTATTACATATTGCATATTGCTTATGATATGGTAATTTAGTCATCAACAATTGCTTACTCATTTATTGGTTGTCATAGATATTGCATATTGGATGTGATTTAATTATTTATTGATTTATATTAGGTTTATTGATTCTGGATTTACTTCATATGACAACTGGTTTAGAGAGAAATTGTTTGAGGTCAGCCACACTTCCATGATTGGAGAGAAGTTTGTGATCAACATAGACAAAATGGAATGTAACTACAGGAAATGGATCAAAACTAGAATTATGTATTGTCACTCACTCATGACTATGATATTTTTTTAATATGAATAGAGAAGACTGCATCCCATACTAGGTTAGGAGGTCAACATATGAAGAAACATACCTTTCAATTATATACTTGGTCAACGCTCAACAAGTCTAGAAAATTACTTGTAATTCTGATGTTTTGTCTCTAACTAAAAAGGTCTTGCCTGAAAGACCAAAAATGAAAATAAGACTATCTTGAGAACTAAAGAAGGATCAAACATAATTAAGATAAGGCGGAACATGCAAGAGATGTGAGATTTGAAAGAACTTCGACACAAATGAAATACAACCCCTAAAACAGAAGAACCTGCAAGCACACCAACTATACAACCCCTAAGCACACCACCTACGCAACCCTTAAGCACACCACCTACGCAACCCTTAAGCACTTAACTCCATAAACTTAGCTAACTTCAACAGACCCAACAATACCATGTCAAGGAAGTCGGATTATTGCATTATCACAGCCACCACTAGCTACAACACATTGTGATGCCGCATCACAACCTCCACCACCTACAATTGCCAAACCTAACACTAGGAAAAAAATTTCATATAAGAAAGGGCCCAATTTGGAAGCCATGAAACTTTATTTATGTATATTTGACAGTTGTAACCTCTATTAACCTGTAATTTGAAACTTCACTATGTATTTTGTAGCTTATTTTGTTTAGGAGATGTACTTATGTTGTCTTTAACCATGTCTTTTCTCATGTAATTTTAAAGAACATGATTTTTTTATAAATGTATTTAGAATTATAATATAATATGTATTTGCAGAAGATTTTAACATTGATTGATTATTTGTTTATAACTTAAACTTTTCATTCATTTCATAAGATTGCATAACAAAAGTTTACAACCTTAACATCACACTTACTACAACCCACAAACTACATATACCTTGAGGATGACAATCCATCTAGTTTTTGCAACATTTCATGGAATTTTCCACAACATTGACACAAATATGTTAATCAAAGCATTTAACTCATTTTTCAGAAACCTTAAGGGATTTCTCTATATTATAGATTTTCCTCCTTTGTCTACCAAAGTAGCATCCCTTTCATCCCTATTATATTCACTGTATCCTTTAAAATCTTCACTTCCATTTTGTTGTTTAAACAAATCCAATAAATAATCAAATTTTGTTACCAATAACAACTTTTTTTTCCATAAAAAGTATATGTCCAAAAAAATTTTAAACCATAGATTTAATCTTGTAGTTTGGATAACTCCAAAATTGTTTTCCACCATTCTTAAAAGTTTTAGCTACTCTCAACACTACAACCTCTCCACAGTGGCAATTTGGTGTTATATCCAAACCCTTAGACCAACCACTAGGAGAGGAGACATTGCGATCTTATGTCCCTCATGAAAAAGATAAACACGCTTAATTGCGAGACATAGTTGACTTCAACAACCAACAAATGTTGAGGACCGCAGATTTTAACCACCAACAACTATGAAGAAGAAGATGTAACTCAACCATTGATTGAAACAACCATAGTCTTTTCCATTAAAAAGAATAACTTGACACATAAATAACTCTATTTCCACGACAAATTTAAATTTTTTGACATGTATCCATTTCATTTTCTCACATCACTATCCTCTTAATGTTATTTTCAAAAACTAAGTGAAAAAACTTGATTGAAACACTTTAACGAATTTTTAAAATATAGTTGACACAAAAAATAAAGTGAAAACCAATTTAAAACGTTTTCATTAAAATTGGAACCAACCAAATAATTAAACTTAAGACCTTCAAATTTCAAATTCTTACTTTTTTTAAGTAGAAATTAAAGTTCTTTAATTTTGAATAATCCAATTATTTTAATCAAATTCGAAAATTTGAATTTCTTCTAAAATTTCTTACCTAGAAGAATAATGATAAAATATTTCAAATTCTTAAAAAGAAAAAAAAAACTATCCATCAAGGTAAGGATATTTTAAACCCTTCGTGCGTGTTGTCATCAAGGCAATAGTTCACAACCTTCACCAGCAAGAAAATCACCTCAGCAATTACGCAACACCAGTTAGTGAACCAAAAGTCATCACTGAGATCAGCAACTGCCACTTCCATTAATTATCATTACATAACCCGTGAACTCTGTATCATCAATACTAGTCATGCACAAATTTAAATATTGAACCTACAATATTTTCCTTTTCCAAAAGCAATATCAAGCTTTCAAATTTGGACTTCAACGCTTCCCTTCTCGAAGTACCCACGAAAAAAACCCGAGTCTACGTGTTCTTCATTCTCCACCAACGAACAACCACGTGCGACGTGTGATAACACTTAAAAAAAAAACACGAAAAAAGCCAAAATTATTGAAAGTTGAAATTCAAAAGACCACATACAATTCCAATACCCTCCACCTCATACCCCGCATATATAAACCCAATCATCCCCCTTCCCACCCTTCAACCAAATATCTGCATCTCAAAAAACCTTCTCTATAACGTTTCAGTTTTCTTACCAAACACCGCACAAAACTCAAAACGCAAACGTAGCACACTCACTAAAATGCAAGCCGTTTCGCACTCACTTACGCCCTCCGTGTTTAGGGATTCTTCTCACGAGTTCGCCGAGTCTTCTGGAAAGTTCGAACACGATTTCATTGCAAAGCTCAAAATCGACGAACACAAAAACGAAGAAGAGCACAACGAAGGTGAGGTAGAACAACAAAACGAAGACGAAGAAGAGGACGAGGAGGAATTTAGCTTCATGCTTGTGAATTCCGACGGATCGCCGATCTCCGCCGACGACGCCTTCGACAACGGCCAGATTCGTCCGCTGTTTCCTATTTTCAACCAGGATCTTCTCTTCTCTGATGATTACGATGGCGGCGTCCACCCTCCGCTAACTCTATTCGTCGAACATCCGGAAGAGTCGCTATTGCCGTCGCCTTCGGCGACGGAAAAACTTACGGCGGCTCCGCCGCCGGAGGGATCGTACTGCGAATGGAATCCAAAGTCTGCAGTGAAGAGCAACTCCACGGGATTCTCGAAGCTGTGGAGATTCCGCGACGTGAAACTGTGAAGCAACATCGACGGGAAGGACACGTTCGTGTTCTTGAACCACGCGCCGGCGGCGAAGCCAGCGGAGAATGCGAGAAACGTGGTGGTGAAGAAGGTTGAGGTGAAGAAGGGGAAAACGACAGCGTCGTCTGCGCACGAGAAACATTATGTGATGAACAGAGCAAGGAAAGAGAACGATAAACGCAAGTCCTACTTACCGTACCGGCAAGATCTGTTCGGGTTCTTCGCCAATTCCCACGAATTGAGCAGGAATGTTCATCCTTACTGAGAATAATTTTTTTCTCTTCTCATTGATTCAAAAATTTTATTGATTTGTACGTAAATAATTGTTTGAAGTTCTCCAACCTAACTAGTAAATTAATTATCTCTTGCTATAGTCNGCAGATTTTAACCACCAACAACTATGAAGAAGAAGATGTAACTCAACCATTGATTGAAACAACCATAGTCTTTTCCATTAAAAAGAATAACTTGACACATAAATAACTCTATTTCCACGACAAATTTAAATTTTTTGACATGTATCCATTTCATTTTCTCACATCACTATCCTCTTAATGTGATTTTCAAAAACTAAGTGAAAAAACTTGATTGAAACACTTTAACGAATTTTTAAAATATAGTTGACACAAAAAATAAAGTGAAAACCAATTTAAAACGTTTTCATTAAAATTGGAACCAACCAAATAATTAAACTTAAGACCTTCAAATTTCAAATTCTTACTTTTTTTAAGTAGAAATTAAAGTTCTTTAATTTTGAATAATCCAATTATTTTAATCAAATTCGAAAATTTGAATTTCTTCTAAAATTTCTTACCTAGAAGAATAATGATAAAATATTTCAAATTCTTAAAAAGAAAAAAAAAACTATCCATCAAGGTAAGGATATTTTAAACCCTTCGTGCGTGTTGTCATCAAGGCAATAGTTCACAACCTTCACCAGCAAGAAAATCACCTCAGCAATTACGCAACACCAGTTAGTGAACCAAAAGTCATCACTGAGATCAGCAACTGCCACTTCCATTAATTATCATTACATAACCCGTGAACTCTGTATCATCAATACTAGTCATGCACAAATTTAAATATTGAACCTACAATATTTTCCTTTTCCAAAAGCAATATCAAGCTTTCAAATTTGGACTTCAACGCTTCCCTTCTCGAAGTACCCACGAAAAAAACCCGAGTCTACGTGTTCTTCATTCTCCACCAACGAACAACCACGTGCGACGTGTGATAACACTTAAAAAAAAAACACGAAAAAAGCCAAAATTATTGAAAGTTGAAATTCAAAAGACCACATACAATTCCAATACCCTCCACCTCATACCCCGCATATATAAACCCAATCATCCCCCTTCCCACCCTTCAACCAAATATCTGCATCTCAAAAAACCTTCTCTATAACGTTTCAGTTTTCTTACCAAACACCGCACAAAACTCAAAACGCAAACGTAGCACACTCACTAAAATGCAAGCCGTTTCGCACTCACTTACGCCCTCCGTGTTTAGGGATTCTTCTCACGAGTTCGCCGAGTCTTCTGGAAAGTTCGAACACGATTTCATTGCAAAGCTCAAAATCGACGAACACAAAAACGAAGAAGAGCACAACGAAGGTGAGGTAGAACAACAAAACGAAGACGAAGAAGAGGACGAGGAGGAATTTAGCTTCATGCTTGTGAATTCCGACGGATCGCCGATCTCCGCCGACGACGCCTTCGACAACGGCCAGATTCGTCCGCTGTTTCCTATTTTCAACCAGGATCTTCTCTTCTCTGATGATTACGATGGCGGCGTCCACCCTCCGCTAACTCTATTCGTCGAACATCCGGAAGAGTCGCTATTGCCGTCGCCTTCGGCGACGGAAAAACTTACGGCGGCTCCGCCGCCGGAGGGATCGTACTGCGAATGGAATCCAAAGTCTGCAGTGAAGAGCAACTCCACGGGATTCTCGAAGCTGTGGAGATTCCGCGACGTGAAACTGCGAAGCAACAGCGACGGGAAGGACACGTTCGTGTTCTTGAACCACGCGCCGGCGGCGAAGCCAGCGGAGAAAGCGAGAAACGTGGTGGTGAAGAAGGTTGAGGTGAAGAAGGGGAAAACGACAGCGTCGTCTGCGCACGAGAAACATTATGTGATGAACAGAGCAAGGAAAGAGAACGATAAACGCAAGTCCTACTTACCGTACCGGCAAGATCTGTTCGGGTTCTTCGCCAATTCCCACGGATTGAGCAGGAATGTTCATCCTTACTGAGAATAATTTTTTTCTCTTCTCATTGATTCAAAAATTTTATTGATTTGTACGTAAATAATTGTTTGAAGTTCTCCAACCTAACTAGTAAATTAATTATCTCTTGCTATAGTGTAATTATAATTTAATTAATATTCTAAAGTTGAAATTTCTGGACTTGCTATATTTTTTCGTGGAAAGAGATAACCAGAGAATTGCAAACAGCAATATTATTTTTCTTTTGTGCCTGCCGACGATACTGTTTTTCGTTAACGATTATAATAAGAAGAGAATTGCAATGAAGATAGCTAACTGTTTACAAGGACACATTATAATTTATTTGAGGATATTTGTCTCAACTACTTTAAGCAGAGACATAATAAATATGAATGATCTGTCGAAAACGTCGGTGGATCCACCCTCTGCATGCAGCCAGCATAAATGTAAACACAGAACCATCACTGACAACCCCAATGAGAAACACACAAACTTTGACTTCCCAAAACATTCATTTTCGTTTTTAATTATAATTCTTAGAGATTACACCATCACCTAAACTAATTACTACTGATGTACGTAAACATATCTGCAAATATGATAATGGGAAGATTAAGGATAATTTAATCTGTTCATTCTAATAATATAATTATATATTTATTTGGTATTTAATGCGTTTGCAGACGAAAAAAAAAGACCAAAAAACGCACAGAGCTTCTTTGCCATTCATTCCTTACAGAGCAGAAACTGAAACAAGTTTAAAATAAGACATCCATTAAAAGTTGAGACTAACAGTTTAAATTATTGAGATTAATTACTTAAATTTCTTCCATGAAACATATTTTAAAAAGAAATCCGTGAAAAAAAACTGTTAGAGAGAATCTTGTTAACTAATTTTAGAAAGAGAGTGGTGAAGATGCTTATTTTTTATCACAAAAGTGTAAGTAGTTTATTTAAAATATTTTATCCACGAGTGGAAATGATAATAAATTGATTTGTGTATGACATTAGGATCGTGGAAGTTGCAACAGAAGAAGCGAATCACGATACGCGGATATGACGTCAGCTACGATTCTTCTTGTGTTGTGAAAGGAAGAAGATTCCAATGTTCCTAGGAGATGCTTATTTCTCAAGTAATAAGCAACAGGAAATAACAACCTAATTACCTCCGAACTTTTTAAGAAACTCGTCCATAGCATGAGGGGTAGGGTGCGTACTTTCAAGCCAAATCTTTATGTCCACAAACAATTTATCTTTGCGCATTATTGTTTACGCGTCCCAAAATAATTTATGCGCGTGTAAGTTCAAACCTACAAATATTTGCTTTTTAGACGAGTTTTTTTCTAAACCATCTATTAAGACATTTGTTCTTTCAAAGTCGAAGAGATGCTTGCAAAGATTTTAATTTTATGAATTTCTTCGATCTTCGAATTTTAAAGTAATATTATATTTTTAGTACGCGTTATTAGTAGGATACATATCATTGTACATATATAAAATATTTCTTTCAAATTAGCTTCAAATGTTAATAAAGTATTAAGTATAATTAATGAAAACGAAAATTAAATACTTTAATGATTGTGTTATTTATAACATAATTTATTATATTTGTTCGTCTTTATTTGGATGAATTCAAACTTGGAATCAATGGTCTATTTACCTTATCCGAGTCAATGTTTGATCATATTTTGTTAAGTTAGAAAGTAGTCGGTATACCATTAATTCTGCTAGACCAATAGATTATCAGTCAAACTGTTTACTGATAATCACCATGGTACTGTTGTAGACACTTAGAATGTATTTGATTGCGTTATGTGTCATATTATCCTAGGGCAAGACTAATATTGATGTAAGCGAGGAATACTATGTCATGTACAGTACAATATTCATTAATAAATCAAAAGTGAAGAAAAAAATGTTATTGATTAATACCTTGGTTTGGTTTAGAAAAAAAATCTAAAGTGTATTCATTATGTCATGTACGAAACTAATGAAACATATTTAATATGATAGGTTGATTCTAATATTTTGTAAAATACATTAAGTCGAACAATGATATGATTTGAAGTAAAAAAATTACTTGATTTATTTATATTTTAAGTTGAATTAATCTATAGATATTTTTAGTCATTATATTTTACAAATAAGAATTAAATATGTTTTTTTGTGTTCGAATTAGTGACTAAAATTGTATTTCGTCTCTAAATTTCGTTATATATTTTATAATATAATGTAAAATGTCTTTGGCAACAAATGACGTTAAAGTCATTTTTATGTGGCAAACATGTGTGGATTATACCTAAACATCCACATGACTCTATATCATTGCATTACAATTAACATTGGTAGTGGTGAACTTAGAGGTGGTGACTATAGGGCAACCTTGGCAGTGGTTAAGGTGGTGAGCCTAGAGGTTATAAGCTTGGTGGTAGTGGCGACGCTGATGATGGTGTTGGTTATGGCACACCTGAAATCGAATTGGATCTAGATAAAATGCGAGATATATAGAAGAATATGAAGGGGGATAACATAAAGACAAATAAGTCATTTCACCACCTCATAAGGGTGCAGATTGAAATATAGGAAAAAACACGGCCTAAATTGTTATAATTTTTTATATTTGCGTTGTTGGGTTGGACTGTCCATTTTACAAGTTCTAAAAGTAGATAGAAATGTCATATGGACCGAGTCGATTTGGACTTTGATTTTATCTAACTTGTGTGACGACTTAGGGTGTTGCTCCCTCCACCACCACAGCCTTCTCCCTCCACCTCCCCTTTACAATTTTATCCCTCAGTAAGATTTTATTTTTAGAATTATTGTTTTTTAATTTTACTCATTTATAACATATTTCACTGATAACCTACGTAGTAGTTCCTTGTATGAGTAAAATATTTTTCTGCAAAGTTCAGTGATTGTGAAAAAAATTATCAAGCAATCTTCCTTTTGCTTTCGGTGCAGTACGTGGTGCAGTGCGTTTGTGGTGTAATGTGCTTGTCGTGGTTCCTCTCCAGGTACGTAGTCATAATCCTTCCAATAATCCTAAACCCTAAACCCTTCCAATAATCCTTCCAATAATCTTTCCAATAATCCTTTAACCTTAAAACGTAAAATGAAAACGAAGCCTAAACGGATGACATCCTTCAACGGATGTCAACATCCGTTGAAGGCAAAACGGATGTCGACATCCGTTTCGCCTTAAACGGATGTTGACATCCGTTGAAGGATGTCATCCGTTTAAGTTTTGTTTTAATTTTATGTTTCTGTTATTATTTTATTAAATATTTTAATATTTTGATTTATTATTTTTGAATATCTTTTTAGTGTATTTTAATAATGTATATTTATATTAGTTTATATTTAAATATTAAAATATTAAAATAATAAAAATAAAAAATTTTAACTTTAAGGATATAATTGGAATTAAAGATAATTGGGGAGGTGGAGGGAGAAGGCTGTGGAGGTGGAGGGAGCAACACCCGACGACTTATTGCAATAACTTCAACCTTCTGTAATTCAAAGTGAAATTAGGTTGTGTACACGGATGGATTTAAGAGAAAGGCTTAATTACCTACTTAGTCCCCATGTTCGGAGGTAATTTGCTGTTTAGTACCCGGTTTTAAAAATGTAGGCATTTGATACCTATGTTTTGAAATTTGTATCAATTGAATCCTACCCACTTAACGCCGTTATAAATCTAACGTTTTTCTGACTGTGTATGTGATTTGTGGACGAGCGTTTGTGGACGAGCGACGAGGACGATCGTCCAGCGAAGAGGACGCTCGTCCAGCGAGGCAGAAGAGGACGCTCGTCCAGCGAAGCGAACGCCCAGTCAGGCAGAAGAGGACGCTCGTCCAACGAAGCGAACGCTCGTCCATAACCGCGAACGCTCGTCCAACGAAGCGAACGCTCGTCCATAACCGCTCGTCCACAAATCACATACACAGTCAGAAAAAACGTTAGATTTATAACGGCGTTAAGTGGGTAGGATTCAATTGATACAAATTTCAAAACATAGGTATCAAATGCCTACATTTTTAAAACCGGGTACTAAACAGCAAATTACCTCCGAACATGAGGACTAAGTAGGTAATTAAGCCTAAGAGAAAAGAGTAAATAAATATATTGGATTTAAGAGTGAATTTATTGTTATTTTTTTAAGAAATTTAAAGGTGACTGAATCTGTTATATTATACAGTGTTGTTCTTTCAGAACACTTGAATCTGTCATATTATACAGTGTTGTATTCAATGTCAATTTAATCGCAAATCAAAGATTTCAAACCTTAGATTAGAGTTTCTGTACACATTGGAGCAGTGCTCATACACAGGGTTGCCATTATCTGGTTCTTTGTGTGGATGAAATCCTGTCTCCTGGCAATTTTTCAGAATATTCATTCCTTCAGGGTCGGCTATACGAAATAATCCACAGCTCCTGAACAAAATTACTAAATTTGAGTTCCCAGATATCTTCTCATATAGCATTTCTGGTAATTGGAATTAGGCTTATTATTGTGGTTCAACAGAAGCTACCACAAGTACTTTTAGCATCATATACACTAGGTTTGTTTATAATCCAAATCAGATTCAGAGGAACATCTATTCTGGTTTTCTTCAAAATATCTTACATTCATTCAGCTCCCTTATTATCTCAAAATGAAAGTTGGATGAAATTATTGGAGTAAGGAATTACTTTTAAAAAGGAAAGGGAAGAAAAGAAGATAGAACATTTAAGTACAAAACAGTAGATATCCAAATTTTAGGTGAAAGACAACAGTTAAAACATACAAACACAAAGATGAACAGGAATTACAGAATTTGTCTTTATTGTAGAACAAAAGACAGTAGGCAGACCTTAATTTATCATTTGGTGCCAAGACAATGGCAAATGCCTCAGGAATCATCATCTGATAAAATAACACCAAACTGTGAGTCCAAAATTTGTCTGGAGAAAGAAAATAGAACGAGACTATATTTAGAGTAAATATCCATTCAAGTTTTAATAGTTAGGTTGTTTATAATTATCACCTGCAAACCATTTTAAGTTCTTTTGTTAAAGGAAAACTTTTGCGATTGTACTTTCCTAATACACACATATACAATTCAACTTTACAGAAAGAATTAAGTATCCATATGTTGCCATCATATACAGACTACAGCATCTTCTTTATAAGTCTTCTTATCCCAAACCTGGCTCTAATCACTGACTGCAACCAAAACCATAGAGGATGTGCGACAAATTATATTTGAATTTGTCAACTATTTAATGCAACCATGGTGCATATGAAAACTTTGATGACAAAAGTAACATGTATCCTTAAAGGAGATCATAGTTTAAATGCTGAAACAAGGAGACAATAGTTGAACAAAGAAATGCTTTTACAAGAAAAATGCAGATCCACAGATCATAATTAATAACACAAAATACATGGATCAGTCACCTGGTAGGAATATTGAGTGTGAAGATCCACAGATGACATGAAACAACTTTGAGAAGGATGTGTCTGAAAGTTTTTTGAAGAAAAGGGTTAGAGAAATCTTACCAGAGAAAACCTCTACTCTTAATTAGCATTAGTGAAAAGATAGGAAGACATACATGAATCCATCCTACAGGATAAAGGGTTCTTTCATTTAGAATTTTGAAAACTTCCTCCTCATTCGTAGCTTGACACTGTGATTCAGTTATCAAGATAGCAACAAAACAATTAATACTAAAATCGTGCCCTCTTGAAAATATATACCAAAACATTTTAAAGCCGTAGGTGAGAGGAATGTAACGCTGAGATCCAGATACTAACAGAATTGGAAGCAGATTCCTGCTTTGGTATAATCAGAGTAGTCATATAGAGGGTTCCCTTCTCCTGGAAAATTGAAGGATATGATCAAGTATCAGTTTGAAATTCTGTAATACATTTGATCAAATCAGGCTCTTCATTTCTTTTCCATAACACACCACCTTGGCAGATATAAATCTATTAAATACCATTAACAAAAAGTTGAAAAGAATCATACAAGATATAAAGTACTAACAAATAATCTTGCGTATTCATGTACGAAAAGACACAAAATAAGGAGTGATTATGCAGGAGGTATGACTCACTGCTCTTTAGTGGAAATGTTCTGATAATAACATAATCTAATAGAGCTAGATAATCTGATGTATATAGTTAATTAGTTATACGGTTTTTTTAAAAAAGTGATTCTAGTGATTATGTTTACGTTTAGATATTTTTAAAAATCCAGAAGCTACTTTATGTTTGTTTACAATATTTTCTTTTAAAAGAAGCAGCTAATTGTATTAAAAATCCAGAAGCTACTTTATGTTTGTTTACAATATTTTCTTTTAAAAGAAGCAGCTAATTGTATGATAAGCCAAGTTTTTCAAAATATTTTCTCATTCAGTTTTATATTCTTTTTAGTTTCCCATTATCTTGATAAGTTGAGACTAATACCTGCAAAACTGAAAAAAGAAAAGGTGTTTCTTTTACAAGAAAAATGACAACACACAGGCCCAATATCTCTGTATTCATTTTATGATGACAAGCCAAATACGAAGTTATGGTTTTACAATGATTCTTACAAGATAGGCACCAAGTATACCACAAGTTTCCAAATCCTTTTCTGTATTTTCTTTAGCAAGATCTAGAAAGTCCTCCATCAACCGCATTGACTGGAAAACACAAAATGAATACTTATTAAACATAAGTAGTCTGCAATAGTCAAGGGTCTCTATGATGTTCATCACATAAAGTACCAGTCCAGCAGTGCCACAGATTTGAAAATAGACAGTTTTGATGTTCAGTGAGATAGGTTCAGACATGCATGAGTGGTTCTAAGTTCTTACAATATGAACATCCCGCATGCTCTTAGACGAGGTTGACTCGTTATCTGATTTTGAGGATCCATCACCTGAATTAAAAACTGTAACATGAGAACTTTGTGCATCCTGGGGCACTCTCTCCACAAAACTCAAGGCAGGGGAAGGCCAGGACTGAGTTACTTTATGAAGCATGAAGTATCTGTTGGCTGTCTTAGGAGCACTTGGTTTACAAACCAATGAGCAGCAACTCAGATTTCTTAATTGGAATGATGAACACCCAGATGGATCCACATCATCAACATTCATGCTGCATTCAATCCGTACAGAAAAAAATAATTTTGTATGTTAAGATATTATAGTCTATGTTTCTAACAACACCTACAATCTGTGCAGGTTTCAGGAAGTTCTAGGAAACTTGGAAAAACCATTCCTAAACCCTAAACCCAAAAAAGATGAAGTACGAGGTAGAAGATATTGAATATTATATTCATACCTTTGAAAACTGCTCTCTGCAGCATCACAGTTTCTAACCTGCCATACAAAGTCCTATAAATGATGAAGTTCACCAAATGTAAGTTAAAAAGGAAAAAGGGGGTTGGAGGATGTGCAGCCTTTACCTTCCTGTTACTTACACCCTGTTCTTCATTAGACTGTTTGTACATCTGAGAGATCAATAGTTGAACAATCAAATTGTAAATTTTGAAGATTCAAAAACACATAAAAAGTAGAGAATCATATACTATATCTTCTTTTTCACATCAAACCCAAGTACTTTTACCTCTCCTTTCACAGCCCAAGGGTAATCCCTTTATGAGCAGAAGAATTCAAACCTAGGCACTAAAAGGTTGCTAATTACGAGATCCAGATTAATCTACCCTCGAACAAATAAAATAATCTCATGCAACACAATCAAAAAGAGTGACTAGAAAAAAAAAAGGGTTTTCTGTACATTTTCAACTATAAATGAATTGCGAGAACCCTCTATTTGTAAAATTATTCTGTTTCCCAACCTTTTTCTTGTAAAGATGATCAAATCCATGTTTTCTTTCATACACACTTACCTTTTTTTCTTGTTTTGGCTAAAAATCTGTTAATTTGTTTCTGGCACTCTGGTATAGCAGATGAAACTAAAGGAAGGGATTAATATATGGTACCTTCCAGTGAAGTTTTTCTTTTATCAACTGAGATGAATGATTAAGTTGCTACGATGCACGTGCACCTTTGATAGAATCTGCCTCTGAATCAACAGTAAAAATATCAAACTTCTTAGACAAGGCAAATATATTTATAAATTTCATCTGAGATTTTCAGAAGACCTTACATAATCTCAATCCTGCAAATTGTATTATATAAATAAATTTGAACTGTTAGGTAGAAAACTGCGCAGCATATTGTTTGTTTCGTTTCAAGGACAAGATAATATCTTTAAATTCTTATAATCATGATAATGTCATGACAACGTTACAGTCAGCATATGTTAGTACAAGATTTTTTATAACTTTCTTCAATAGAGAAAAATAAAATAATTTTTTATCTTAAACTCTCGCATTGTTTTTTAAATTATAAATTTTCAATAACTAATTTCAATATATGAAAAAATTTATTTTATTTTTCATTATAGGTTTTATAAAAAAAATTAAAATTATTATTTTTCATTTTTTACTTTCTGGTCATAGTGTGTTTTGTCTTTTGTAGTTAGAATTAGGGTTAAATATGTTTTTTCTTCTTATCACACGATTTTGGTTTTAGTCCCTACTCGAAACTTTGATGTTTTTTAGTTTTCATAGTTTTGAAACTCTTACTATTAGTCCTTAAAATTGTTCGGCGTTAACTTTTAGTATATGTGGCTAACGGCCAGCCCACGTGTGATGCCACCTTCCCTGACTACTTTTAATTGACGTGACAGTAAATGTGTGGTGGTCGGTTGGCCTGGTGGGTATTGGGCAAAGACCGAATGGTATTGGGTAAAGACCGAACGGTTATGGTGACGTGTGAAGTGCAATATATGAAAGACCGAATGGTATTGGGCAAAGACCGAACGATATTGGTCAAAGACCGAGCGGTGTTACGCAAAGACCGAGCGGTGTTGGTTAAAGACCGAACGGTTATGGTGATGGGTGGAGTGCAATATATGAAAGACCGAACGGTATTGAGCAAAGACCGAACGGTATTGAGCAAAGACCGAACGGTATTGAGCAAAGACCGAACGGTGTTGAGCACAGACCGAAGGGTTATGGTGACGGATGGAGTGCAATACATGAAAGACCGAACGGTGTTGGGAAAAGGCCGAACGGTTATGGGCAAAGACCACCATGCCGACCACCAGACCGAGTGGCCGACTACCCACCAGGTTGACCGACCACCACAACTTTACTACCACGTCAATTAAAAGTAGTCAGGGAAGGTGACATCACACGTGGGCTGGCCGTTAGTCACATCTACTAAAAGTTAACGTCGTACAATTTTAAGGACTAATAGTAAGAGTTTCAAAACTATGAGGACTAAAAACCATCAAAGTTTCGAGTAGAGACTAAAACCAAAATCGAGTGATACTTAAGGGACGAAAAACATATTTAACCCTTAGAATTAAAAATTGCATTTTTATTTAGTCCATTAGAATATTCCTACTCTTAAAAATAAGATTCACATTTTTATAACAAAGAACGATATGATACAGACAAAAACAAAAGATTGATAATTTCTAAAACAAAAATTAAAAGAAGTAGATAGGTCAATAAAATTCGATTCAATTACATGAATACAAATACATTAAAACATATAAAAACTTGAAATTCAGAAAACTTAGTTTCTCCTTCTAAACCCCTTTTAGTGATTTACCTTTTAATCAAACAACTAATAATAATATGAGAAATCAGATTAGTGGTTAAGAGATCAAGAAAATGCATAAAATCATTGATGAAGAGTTATCATAATATATTCTCACAAAATTTAATAAACTTATTATGCAACAGATATTATAAAGATCTAATTATAGAGATGAGCATGCATTCTAGCCAATAAGTTTCTGCATATTTTATTAATAGCTTCTCTTTTTATTTTCATTGCATTAATCTGCTTAAGTTATATTTTATATCATAATATTTTTAATAAAACTAAATGTTTCGGGTGTGAAGGTGTCAACAAGTTTTATAGATTGCAAAAGTATTTGAATACTAAGTTTAACTATTCGTTTTTATGTCATTATTTGTTTGTGTTTTTGTTATTAATATTGGGACATTACATGAAAATGTCAAAATTAATAAAAATTCGACAATTCAAATATTAATGTCACATTAAATACAAAATTATTGATTTTACCTCATATCTATATTTTAGCCCTACAGGTTTAGAGTGACTTATGTACTCTACACTCACATTATTAATAATTATTATTAATGGTTGACGTAATATTTTAAAAAAAATATTATTCATATGCAAGACGAAGACAATGAAATTTTGGCCAATAGGAATAAAATAAAGTGAAATTTTGAAGGGACGACAGAAACATGATCCATTCATTCAAATGCATTAGAAGACAAAATTAGCAACGGTGTGAAATCATATTCAGAAAATATTCTATTTCCTATAAAAAAGAAAAGAAATTTATGCAACATCGGTGACCTCTCACACATGCATGATGATGTAGCTAACATTCTTCTTCACTCATATTAGCTTTGAGAATTGAGATAAGAAAGCAGTGTCCTAATATTAACTTACTTTCGCTTTCTTTATCATCTTTTGGTAAATAATTGATTCCCTTCAAACTCATTTTTCATTCTCATTCTCCCTTCTTTTTCTGTGCCCATTTTTGTCAAACCCAGTCCCTTACCATTTAGCCACTATCTTTCTCTCATTCCTTCACAGAATTAACTTTTGCTACTTCCTTTACTTTTTTCCTCTAAATTTCTCAAAGTCTACATAACCAGAAGAAGGTCACAACATACAACTTCACCAATTTTCTGCTTTAATATGTACTGCATGTGGATTTGCCTTCAAAGTTTGCATTTTCCAACAAAGTTATGCCATGCCTTTTATACTTTGAGAATGTGTATCAGAATTTCAAACATGTTAAGTTCTAACTTATATTTTAGTGTAACTGTTACTCAGACACAAACTACTCAACTTTTATATAAACTTTATGCTGATTATTAAAATTTTACTGTTTTTGAGCCCACAAAGAAATTAATTTTGTGTGGTTTTCAATTTGCTATAGCACAAGTTGATGTTGGTCTTTTTACGATTATGAATTGCAAGTTGGCAAGTATGTTGAGAAGATTGGTTTGTGTGTGCATGACAGGGAAAAGAGGATTCTGCAGTGCAAACAGAAGCATGGCTGGTGCATTCAAAAAGTGTATGATGCTCTGTTGCACGACCAAGATTGACTCGGTATTTTTTTCATTTATTAAACATTTTATTCAATTTTACTTTTCTTTATATATTTTTAATTCACTTTTTATTAAAAAGATATTGTTGGTTGAATATTTAAAACCTTTACTATTTTTTAATTAAATTATTATTATTTAACTTCTTTTCATTAATTGAATGATATAATTACTGTTATATTATTTGCTTCATCTCCTACATCTTGAGGTAAAATAGTACGAAATTTTTTTTCTTTTAATATTATTTTATATTAACAAAATAATTATATTTCTCCATCTATAACATAAGAAAATAAAAGACGATATAATATATTATTACCAATATGGAAATTTTTAAATAGTTGAATAAAATTCAATTAAAAGTATATAAATTTACGAGAGACTTAGAATTTAATTCATCATTTATTAAATTTAATTTCTTTGTAGCATGTATAAAATAACAAATGTGCTTTTTATAAAAATTTGAAGTTTTAACTATTTTCAAGAATTTTGACAATTCAAATTCAATGTAGTATATTTAGTAACAATACTCAAAACTTCATTTTTACTAATACTTAAAATTTAACTAAATTAATTTCTTGAAGAAATCTAATAAATATGATTATAAAAAATCATTAAATACCTAACGTAAATTATGCCCTAAGTGAATTTACGGTATTAGACATTACATGTATTGATAATAATACAAAGGAACTAAAAAGATAAATCCCATAATTTTTCTATAGTCAAATACCACTACCTACATCCCATTGCTTTCAAATAAAGGTTACAAACAAAAACCACTAACAGACATATAATTTTTTTTTATTTCATTAAATTATAAAATTATTAAGAAATATAAATTTAAATCTAAATTGTTTTATAAAGTAAAATTTAAATTCATTTATATACTAAAAGTTAACCTCATTTTTAAGTTAGTGTAAAATTTCTAATAGAGTCTTCAAGTCAAGACATATATACTTTGATTGATTGAATTAAGATTAGATATTAATATATAATTTGATAATAACCTAATAACAAATAAAATAATAAGATAAACGGTTAAAAAGTAAATTTTAATTAAATTCAATCTCATGTGTGACTTATAGTTACCCTTAATCATGTAAAAAAAATTAAAAAAAATATAGCTTCTCAACATAAAATAACAACACTTTGTCTATCATATACTTCAACCTAATCTTTAAACTTAATAGGTACATGTTAACCTTTTAATAGAAAGAACGTATATGATGTGTACTTTTATATTTAAAATCTGTTTAGCTAAAAAAATAATTAATAATTTATAGTATTAATTATAATATTATTTTAGCTAATATTAAATTTCAGTACATTTTTTCTAAGAAATGTTGTAATAAATTCTCTAATCTTAATTGTAATTAATGTTGATTTTAATTTAACTCAATTAGTTTAGATATATTTCTATTTTAATTCTAATATTAGTTTTAGTTTTATTTTTACTAAAACTATTCTTTATTTTTGGTGCTCTAAAATTAGAGCTGTCAAAATGGGTCACAATCCGCGAGCCAATCCGGGCCACCACGGGTTTGAGCTAGGTTGGGTTAGAAAAAATTGTATTTTTTTTTATGCGGGTCAAATTTCAACCCGGCTCATGCGGGTTGAACCCGTGGTAGGCCGGGTTGGCCCACCAACCAATCCACCTACATAATTTTATTTTATTAAAATTTAATTTTAATTTTATAAAAAAATATTTATTATTTTGTTTTTGCTTGAAAAAGTTACTTAGTTCCTTATTTTTTCAAATTAATTGACACCCATGTTTGAAAAGTAGAGTGAAATGTGGGAGTGAATTTGTTTAGATTTGTAAAAAATTTAGAAAGTTTGTAATTTCTTTTTTATTTAAAAACAATTGTATACATTATAATGAGCCCAGTTATTCAACCCTTTTACCCCCCACCCGTGATGGGTCCGAGCCGGTTCGAATTTTCTGGCTAATACTAAATGAGTCGTGTTGGGGTTGACTCACTAAGTGACTAACCCGGTGATGGGTTTGGTCCGGGTCCGGGTCAGGTGGCCCGTTTTGACAGCTCTATCTAAAATTGTAGCCCTACTTTTAATATGAATTATAATATTAATTTAAATATCAATAATTTTAATTTATAATCTCTAAAATTAACTTTAGTTCAATTACTAATAAAATAATATAGTATAATTAAATACTTCTGCACTAGTTAATACTTAAATATAATTACTAACTGACAAATTGTGATTGAACTAAAAAATAAATATATGAATAAATAAATAAATAATATAATATAATCATTTTAAAGGGGTAAACAAATTAATTTGTTCCAATTTTTCTTTTTCAAATTTGAACTGAAAACTAAAATGAATTATGGAGTCAATGAATGTTTTAATTTCCCTCTTAATAAAATTTCCATAAAGAATAATAATTGTGGAATATTAATAATTTCCTCTTGTTAAATTGAAATTGAAATTTCATTTGAATATAGTATAAGCATAGGCTATCGTAATAGCTAATTAATTGCATTTAAAGTATCCATCACGCTCTTTTCTGATGTTACTGTCAATTGTGTCAACTTTGGTGATAAAGTAATACTTTTAAATACAAGAGGGATTATTTTTGGGTCACATTTTTCATTTCTCTTATTTAAATCTTATTATTCACCTAATCAATCCATTGGGTCAATAGATGGTTAGTGATTAATTAATCTGGTTGACCACTTTACATAAAAAATTAAAAAAAAATATGCCTGAATAATTTAACTTAAAAATTTTAAATTTTCATCACAATAAAAATATAAAATAAAAAAAAATGATAAAACAATTCCATAGTTGAAGTTGAACAAATAATGTTACATAAATATATTATGTAATAATTTAATTCTTGGTAATATTTGTCCTAATTGATGAAATGCATGACTCATAGTTGGTCATTTCTACCCACTTCTAGTTTGGGTGATCCCTATCCACCCAAACTCATGCCTTTTTCCCTTCTTTATCTAATTAAACCAAGAATAAGTAAATCTTTCAACATGCGCCACCTTTCCACACATAAATACTGAATTTAAGATGCGTTATCTCTGTAGCTTTTTTCCATTCAAATCGGATGTTTATGATATGATATTTTTTAATGTAACTTGAAAGTTAAATTTTATTTTTAATCAGATCATCCTAAAATAAATATTTAAATGTTTTTTTCTTTCTCTATTGAACTTATAAAAGGAAAACCAAAGAAATTAAATATTTTTACTCTAAATACTGAGTGAAATATATGGAGAATATTTGCAGGTCAAAACTCCACATCTTGATAGCACATTTATTAATTTTCAGTTATCAATTTTGAATGACTATGTTCATAAAAAAGAAAAGTTAGAAAAATTGGCAGAACGTGAATTTTTAGTTCTACTGGGATAAGAAGGGTTTTTTTTTTCTTACTTTTTTTAAGTTATATTACTTTCAGAAATATATTTCTGACACACAAATTTTTTTTTACATTTATTTTATTTGATGTTATTATTCTTTATATTTTATTTTAACTTTTTATCTAAAAATACAAAAGTTCACACTCTTTTATAATTAATTAGTATTATCCTACCATTACTTTATCACTTTTGGAAGAATTTTAAAAGAAAAATGAGAGCAAAGCAACTCATGTCAACTTGAAGACAGTGGAGAAAAATAGATAAATGATTTTTTTGCCTTTTTATACTGAATTTTTTAAAAATAAAGCGATATTATTAATTTTATTACATTTTTAATTTTATAAAACAAGTAAAAATAATAACTTTTGTTTTCCTATTTTTCTTTCTTCTTATAAAATTACTTATTTTTATTGCTTTCCCTCTATTATATTTATTTATTTTGACGAAGTATCGTCAAGTTTTTGTTAATGATTAAACCTGAGTTATCATTTTCATTGAGATTTTTGGGCTGAATTATATTTTTTATTGAGAAATTACCTGAACCAAGTTTTATTGGAACTAATTAACGATATAAAGAGAGAGTTATTTATCGATGAATAAATGAAATAAAATGTGTGATGTTGGTGATGAGTTAAGACCCGTGTTTAGTGGCACACCAAAGGTGAATCCTAATTCCCCTCTGCTCAGTCTACACGTCCAACGAAAACTGAACCGTCATACTCATATCTGCATATAATATCACAAACACAAACAGAAACACACACAAACAAAAACATCCTTATTTTCCTCCAAATCTAACCACTACCTGTACGTCTAACAGAAACTCAGAAAGCTCAGAAGGTAATACACATATATGTGTTCATTATCTTTTTTTCTTCGTCCACCAGTTTCAGATCACGTAATATTCTACCATTCACGTTTAAGCTGATAGATTAATTTTAATTTTCGCTAATCATTTTGTTAGATGATTAGTTATTTTGATTCATTGTTGACAGAATTCGTGTGTTGATCGATGAATTATTAAATAATTTTATGAAGAGATTGATCATTTCGTGGTTTTGAAATTTTGAGGTTTGCACTTAACTGAATGTATATTGTGTTGTTTGAGACCAAAACAGAAGGAAGAGATGGCAGGAGAATCATTCGGCGAAGCAATCGCAAAACTGACCAAGCTTCTCAGGTAATTCAGACAAACATTGCTGTCCTTTTTCGTCATTTGACTCTGTCCTTTTATGACAAACACGACCACACGTAGAGATAGATAGAGCGTTTCAGAAGGAGGTGGTAGGTGGTGTGGTTCTTCGTTCTTCTTATGCGGGCCCCACGCCACCTCGTACGCGCTTTGATTTCCGCGCTGTGAAACGGTTTCTGTTATTTTTTTTAACAGTGAAAAGGCTGAACTCGGCGACGTCGCCACCTTAAAGATCTCGCAGCTGACGGCGGAGCTTGAGGCTGCCGGTGCGAAGCGCTGTGTCCCGGAGGAGAGGATCAAAACGGGCTTCATCACCTTTAGGAATGAGAAATTTTTGTAAGTCTTTTTCTTCATTTATTATCTCATTATTCAATTAGGAACCTTCTCGATAAGAATTTGCTATTATTGTGATGGAATAATGGTGAAAGAAATTTGTATTTTGCCCCTTTAAAATTAGCAACAACAACAAAATAAATATCTTCATAAGAATATTAAGAATTAGTATTTGATAAAATAGTTAGAATAATATACCATCATATCATGAATTATCATAATAATTTTATTGGCTCTTATAATAATTATTTTAACATTTATATAACACAGTAATTTCGAAATAGTTGACCATATAAGACTTTTATACTGACATGATTATTTTGCATGTAGAAACTCTCATTTAATCTTATATTAGGATATTTGAGTTTGAACACTTTTCCTAAGCATCATATTCTATCTCTAAATATTTTAAAATAAAAAGTAGTTCTATACATCGATAATTGTTTTTTTGAGAAGTTACTTTAGCAATAATTAAATCCAAATATTAATGTAAATTTTTACTTTACACATCTGGAAATTGCACTTTACACCCTCAATATATTCTAATTAAATTTTTATAATTAATTATCATTGAATAAAATCTTAAATTAATCCTTAATTTTTGAAAGCAATAATTGTTATATTTTTAATACAAAATAATATCAAAGAACAAAATAAAAAAAATGAAATTAATGACTATAAAAATATTTTTAAAATGTTCCTCTTTCATTCCTTTCCCGTCACACTACTCAAAAGAAAATGGAAAGAGTGATAGAAAGTAGAACTTTATGTTTACAATATTAAGTGGAAACGTAAGCAGATGTTGTTTCTTTCCATACATAAATGGAAATCATGAGATGGCCAACGTCGAATGATGTTTTCTTTTTGGTGCTAAAATGGCACTTTACTTTTCGTGTTGAGTTGAATCCTTTGTCATTGCGGAAATTAAGGCATGTTCTGTTTTTACTTTAATTTAACCAGTAATTAAGAGAAATACAAATTTCTGATATTTGGGTGGATTCTTCGTATATTTTTTCAGGAGAAATCCTGATCTATATGCCGACCTTGCCAAAGGCCAAAGCCCAAAGGTTAGTCATGTTATTGTTTCGCATATTCACTAGTTACTTCTTTTTCTTCATTCCTTTTTGCCCTTTTGATTACATTAATTTTTGGTGAAATTGAATTTGATACTTTCAACATAACGACATGAAAACAGACAAACAAAATTAAATTTGAACGGAATAGTTGTTTTCAGATTTATTAATGAAATATTCTATTCTTACTTTTTTTTACAGCATAAGCATGTGTTAACTATTATTAGCCAACTACATACACTATATACTAGCTATACATTTTTTCTTCAATTATATATATATAGTATATGCTTATCCTTTGACCAAAGTCAATTATAGTAACTTAGAACACAATATAACATCTCTACTTAGTTTGGATATTACAGTATTACACCATTTTATATGGTCGAACTAGTGACTAACTAATTTAACTAACAATCTATTAATTTAGTATTTCGACTGAATCAACCAGCAATCCACTTTTTAAATCATTGTTTTATGCAGCGAGTTTCTCATTTAATATATTTATGTTGCCGCTGATGACAATTATATAACATTGCTATGAACACATGCAGTTTATGGTATTTGCCTGCTCGGACTCGAGAGTTTGTCCATCCCATATTCTGGATTTCCAACCCGGTGAAGCCTTTGTGGTCCGAAACATTGCCAACATGGTTCCACCGTATGATAAGGTTTAACGTTTGACTAACATACAATTTGTCGTCCAAATTCATCTTCCTTTTGTGTTACCCTTTTTTGGTGTTTGAAATCAATACAATTTTTTTACTGGCTTTGTCTCATTGTACATAGACAAAGTATTCAGGAGCTGGGGCAGCCATTGAATATGCAGTCGAGCATTTAAAGGTAATTATTTCTCATAATTGTGTTCCTCCTATGCTTATCTTATATGAAAATATTTTAATAAAGATGAATTTGTTAATATTGTTTTCTTTCAAAAATATATATACTGATTATATTGATTTGATAGTTTAAAATATATTGAAAACTTTTAACATATACTTAAGAAAAAAAACTGAGCTAACTCTCGAGTGAAAGGAAAAAGTATAGTTTTTTTTATCGGCAGGAAAAAAGTTTAGTGGTTGGTGCAATTTGTTATGTTATTCATTATTTTGTTGGGATCCACACGCATCGATCTCAACTTGCATCATTTATTCTATTAGATGAAGCAAATTACGAAAGTGGTTTATGAACAGCTTAAGGAATCTTTGAATTGGTGCACATATTGCTAATGCCAAGAATGATAAACATCAAACGTGGAACTAACTACCACGCATTTATCTACTCACATAGTGGTAGTCAAATTCATAATCATAACTCAACATCTAGTCCCTATCTACCACACCTTCCCACTATGCATTATTCCCAATATAATAAATATGTTCACTCCTTTACTCATTTATTTAATTTATTCAACATGTTCTTTTTATTTTATTAATTAATATAAAACGTTTTTGTCTTCCGTAATTATGTATGAGTTATGCCAGCATCTCATTTCAAATTGATCGTTTTTAATATCTAGTTTGAGGAAAGTGGAACACATGTTTGTGTTGGTGTTAGCGTGTGTATATAAATATATATATATAAATATATATATATAAATATATATATATA